AGTGGTCAAGGGATCGTCTTGATTAAATAGAAGTCACACCTGCAAGTAGAGTGCTGGTAGTGTCTGAGCTTCACTGATGTGGAATGTGAGGTGAGGGCAGCTGCAGAAAACTCAACCCATGTCCCTTGATCTTTGGGACACCTCTTTCCACAATCTGATGGCCTGACTCAGGATCAACATGACAGCCAGGCCACTGGGTGGACACTGTGCAGCTGTGGTCAAGTTGTCACAGCTGGATGATGAGGATTCCATGGGAACGTGGAGCAATGTCAGTGCAGGAGCTTCCTGGAGACAGAGGAAGGTCAGGAGAGCAAGAGTTCACCTGTGGGAGGATGTGGCAGATTTACAGGTGACAGGTTGTGCACCTGTTAAGGAGAGAAGGCCTGAGCAGGCTGGCACTGTGAACTATGCAGGCAGGACCGTCAGAGAGCACAGAGGATCATGGGAGGCAGAGCCCCTTCGTGCTGGACAGCACCACCACCTGCCTCAGGGATCTGGTGCCACTGTACCAAGGGGTTCAGAGCCTGGCTCTGCTCCTCTGTGCACTTGAGGTTTACCTGTACCCACTTCCAGGACTAGAGAGTGTTGCTCTTCACTAAGTCTCACAAGGGATGAGGTTTCTTGCTCCTCCCATTCTGCCATGGGTTCCAGAGCCATATCTGTGCCTAGGCCAGATTCCTGTGAAGCTATGCCTCAATTGGACCCAGAGGGAGCCACACAGCCTCATTTGGTTCCTCTGCCTCCTATTCTTCTGGCTCCCTGTAGAGGGAGTGGTGCTAATCGTTTTCATGAAAAAAGATTATGGCTCCCAGGTCAGGCAGCCTTTGAGCTCAGAAGAGCACTCCTCATGAATCTCTGCAACCACTTCCAGGAGGAAATACTCCAACCTAGTTCCTGCAGCCTGCACATCAGTCATGGTAATTCACAGAACAGCCAATCTTGGCTTTTATCCTCTGAGCAATGAGACTCCATGTACCAAAGCATAGAAGTCCAGCTGCTCCTCTGAGGGGACTGGAAGGGGACTGAGGTCTTTTGCCAGCTCCCCTGGATCTCAGGATGCTGCACCCAGCACACTTGGTATGTATTCATGAGAAGCACAAGTGAGTCAGAGGAGAGCCTGGGTCAGTCCAAGGTCACCCACCATACCTCCCACAGCCCATCTTCCTGTAGATGTCATAGACACAGAGCAAAATAATCAGGGAAATTATAATATTGTGATTGGCTGAAAGCCCCTGATCTCTGCCATGCCCTGTCCCTGAACAGTGCAATCATGGGCAAATGACCCCACAGAAAAACACACACAAGCATGTGCTGTGAGCAGACTGGTCTGTCCTGTAGAGGAAGTCATTGTGCACTGGGTCCCCAGAGTGTGGTTACCATTGAAGGACAGCAAGTGGACCAGGAGCTCTGCAGGATCTCCCAGGTCAGTGGCTGAGCCTTTGAGGGTCTGTGGCTCAGATTCTTGGTTGGTCACATTCATAGTCTCCTCCTGTCTCCAGAGAGGGGATGGGCATGGTCTAGAGCCCTGCTCTTCAGGAGCTGAGGACACACTCTTAAAATTAAGAAAGAGAAGTAGAAATGAGTGGATTCAGACCTTCAGCTGTGCTCAGGATGGAGAAGTCAGTCCTTCCTTCCCTACAGACAGCTCTCTAGACATAACTGCAGTGCACCTGTGACCAGGACATGGACATTTCTGCCCTTTCCCATCCCTTCTCCATGGCATTTCACATGTGCCTAGTCGCCCCCTAGTGTCTTCTGTAGCAAATGGTCCAGTGGAGACTCCCAGCTGCTGTGGAGCCAGGTATTTTCAGCCTCCTTCAGTCTGGGGTGGCAGACTCTGTTTCATTGGGTCTCGTGGTCCTGTCTGTGTTGAAGGTGCTGTGCCAGTGGCCCTATAGAATACTCTCACAGAGGATGCAGTGTCCCTCAGGACTGAATTCTTCTCCTGCATCCAGCATTGTGGTCACTCTGCTGCCATAAAGAGGCACCCCACTGGGCAGCTTCACATCAGAAATGGACTTTCCCATGACTGTGGGATCTCAGGCTGACATCGAGGCACCAGAAGGTCATTCTACTCTCTTGGCTCTCAGAGGGCCATCCTCCTGTGTCACATGGCTTTCCCTGGTGTCCCTGAGACCTTTTTTCCCCTTCCTATAGGGACACCAGTCACACTGCATTAGACCTATACCCACAACCTCACTTTTATATTATTATCTGTGTCTCACCCTCACCAAGATTGTCACTATTTCATCCGGACACCACACACATCCTTCAAGGAAAAAAAAATGGTGAAACTCAGGACAACATAGTGGTAGTTATGGTTAAGGAAATAACCTGTTTTGCACTGTTTGGTTACTTCAAGGTGATGATTTCCATGTGGAGCACCTTCCTTCCCTGGACCTGTGCCCACAGCCTGAGGGCAGGGCCTCTGCTTCCCCAGATCCTAAGTTCCACTGCTCAGTAGAGCTGAGTCCTTCCTCACAGCCCAGGACCAGAGCCTACAGCTCTGGGGCAGCCCCACCTGGGCTCAGCTTGGCATCTAAAACTCACGACACATTTCCAAAAATGTTCACTCACATTGTCACTTTAGTATGTACATGTTGGACCTGATTGTTCTTTTTTCAACCCCAACAATTTAAAATTATATTCAAATATTTCATCCCTATTTAACATAACTTACAAACACAGGAATATTTAAAATAATATGAAGCTTTTAAAATCACCCCCCCAACCTGCTGGGCAAGGTAAGATCACATGAGCCTTCTCAGAACAGGGCAGGAGGAAGAATTAGGAGACCCAAGTGATCATCTCACAAATGATATATGAGTAGGGATGGAGGAGGTAGGGGCTATCAGTCAGTGGTAGAGAACTTGTAAACATACATAAGACCTTGGGTTCAGTCACTAGTACCAAATCAAAAAAAGTGATGGCTGTGGACTGATGTTGAAATGAGTATTTTTGATTCCACTAAGAAGACTGAGAGTGAATAGCTTTGCTATTCATTCTTGCAACAGTTAAGAAAAAATACAAGGGATTCTTTGATGTTTAGAAACATTGCAGCCCTCTTGACACCATGAGGCATTATGGATAATATTAAAAATCCCACAAGATAACATAAACAAAGCAGAACCTGGATCATTTCTATTTTTACCAAACTGCTGACTCAGACCTATATACTCCAACCTTCAAAATTCTGTTTATGTTTTGAGCAATTGCTAGAGGAATTTTCACTTGTTTCTGAAATTATTCAAACTTTTCCAGAAAAGATACTTAAGATGAAGAATATTGCTGACCTTAGACCTGCTCCTCTAGGGAAGATGGGCACCATCATGCATGTGAGTGTGTTTGTGGGGCATTAAGGCATGGGGGGCTGGATCCATGATTGGGTCCCTCCTCCTGGCATCTCAGCCATGATACACCATTTTCTGGAAATGAGTTTTTGAATCCTACTCTCTTTCTTTCTTAACTTTTCCTTACCATCCTAAGCATGGGATGATTCTACTACATCACAGTATCATGGACATGAACCCTGAGCAAGAGAGGCTGAAGTAACTTCTCTTGCCACAAGTTCCATGGTGATGGAGCTCCACCAAGCCAAGGGCCAGCTTCAGTGCCTGTGCTGGTAACTTCTAGAATGCTGGGGACATGATCGTCTGGAGGAAGAAGCTCTAACTTATGAATGAATGAAGATTCCATTGGGAGCTGACAGAGCATTAATAGCTAATTCCCTGTAGCCTAAAAAAGGCTGGGGAAGCAAACCCATTGGACTCCTGTGGGAAAAGCAGATGTATAGGACACGAGGATCAGAACAGGGAAATGTAGCCTGAAGGGCTGCTCAGCCTGAAAAGGGAAGGTTCTGGACCAGGCCCTCACCTCCCCCATGTGACCCTTGCTGAGGAGCCCAAGGAAACTCAGCTGGATCCTCTGTGGATCAGAACTAGGAGCTGAGGTCCTCCACATTGCCCAGGGGAGAAGCTGGGATCTGGTCAGACATGCACATCACATAAGATGGAGAGGAGAGGGTTTTAGAGGGTCACTGAAGAAAGACCTTCCTGCCTGCTGGGCAGCACTGGGATCCATCTCAGGGACCTACTTCCTGGAGGCTGAGGAGCCAGAGCCAGGCCCTTGTCACCTGGGCACTGGTGGTTTCTTGTACCACACTCTGGGGATAAAAAGAGCTGCTCATACTACATCTCACACAGGATGAGTTTCTCCTTGGCCTGCAGGAAAGATCAGTAAAGAGCAAGGAAGAGATGTGGCCTGGTGACCTCCTCATGGCCAGGACAGGTAACCCTACTCCCATGGAGAGGAACAGGCATGGGAGATGAAGAGAGAAGTGAGACCACAGGCCTCCATGCTGTTCCCTGTAGGACAGTTCCAATGTCAGCTGGGCAGTTTATCAGCTAGGTGAGACATGAGGAAAGAGAGGTGAAATTCTGTAGCCCAGGAGGGAGATCTGCCCTCAGGCTGAGCCCCTAGGACTCTTCTGCTAGGATCCTTTGGGTGTTCAAGTGCAGACAGAAGGAGGGAAACTCTCTGCCCCTAGGATCCCCACTGGCCCCTCCCAGCTGCTTTGCATGTCCTACCCACACTGCTTTCCAGAGCCATATGAGTGACAGCTTAAGGCTATGGGGAGCTCAGTGTTAGGTGGGACCCTAAAGGAGCCATGACAGCCCCCAGTCAGCTCCTCTGTGTCCTGTTACTATAGCTCCCTGTTGAGAGATCTTGGGATGGTTCTGCATGTCTGTGAAAACTCTTTCAGTGTGGTTGGGTCCTGGGTCCTGTGTCCTGGCACCTCTGTTTAGCAAGCCCAGTGATTCAAGCTCAGGATGCTGGAGGGTGCTGCAGTGTCCGGGGTCTACTGTGGAGACTGGGGTATGACCTAGACTGTCCAGGTGACCTTTCTGTTCTCTTTCTATCTCAGGTACCACAAGAGAAATTGTGCTGACACAGACTCCAGCATCTATGGCTTTGTCTCCAGGGGAAAGAGCCACCCTCACCTGCAGGGTCAGTCAGAGTGTTGGCAGCTACTTAGCCTGGTACCATCAGAGGCCTGGGCAGGCTTCCAGATGCCTCATCTATGGTGCATCCAGCAGGGCCAGTGGAGTTCCAGCATGGTTCAGTAGCAGTGGGTCAGGGACAGATTACACCCGGTCCATCAACAGCTTGGAGCCTGGGGATGCTGCAGTTTATTACTGTGTGCAAGGACACACATATCAGAGTGGTTCAGTCCCCCCAAAAAACCTCACCAGCCCCATTGGCACCCTCTCTCCCTTAGGGCCCAGCAGCTGCCCCCAGAGGCACCCAGTCAGACATTTTGCACTTTTCTCTTTCCCTGCACCTGCAAAAATTGTGTGAGAGAGGAAATAAAACTTCATTCAGGTCTGAAAGATTCATAGTTTCCTATGCCCTCTTTTGCTTCCCTGGAAAAAGTACGAGAGATTAAAGATGATGGGGTGTCGCGACCCCTTGCCCGCAAGGAAGACGCAACTCAGGAATCTTCTTTCAGCAGTTTATTCAGGCCCTTGATATTTCTTCTTCTCTCCCTTGGATGCCCCTCACAGCCTTAATAAAGCATCTCAAGCCCCAATGCAAAGCTGCCACGTGGAGCTTTCTCATAGGGTGATAAAGGATTATGTGCCAACTCTCCAAAAAAGGAGTTGTTTATCACAGGCCACAGTGGAAGCCGGCGCCATCTTCTAATGGTGGCCACGGTCTATAGGAATGGCTCACCACAATGGGGACACTTGGTATTATTTCCCTACTTCACCAGGTGAGGATGGAGTCTATGGAAGAGTCATAATATCCCAAACACAGGTAGAGTTAAACATGAATCCCTAAGAGTAATTTGATTTTTAGATATTTATTTCCTTCTCATTTTGACATCAACAACATCTTGCTAAATCTGCCAAAGCATAGACACTGTCAACCGTGGCTCCGGAAATAGCTCCAGGTTCTGCTCACATTTATTTAATAATAAAGCCATGGTAAGTTGGGGGAATCTTGAACACTTACTTTTCCCTTTGTGTCCAGCAGCAAAAGTAGCCTCTCAGTTATTCCTGCTTCTCCACCTCTAGAGAGCCCAGGGTTCCAAGGAGGTAGGAATTGGTGGAAGGTCAGGATTTCTGATGAGCACATTCCTCCATCCATCCTAAGGAGCTAACATCTGAGAGATTTTTCAGTGATTTGTCTTTTTCCTGTCACAATCCTGCATCCCGATGCTTGACATTGAATAATGAAGAGTGTGAATATAACTGTAGCTCAACACACCTGGACATAAATTTCTTAAATAGTCAATGACTTAGGGAGTTATTTAGGAAAAACCTCCAGATCCCATTCATTGACAATTTGCAACAAGTTATTTCAAAAATGAAATGCCAAGAAAGTTCCAGGTGTCCTAACCAATAAAGCTTTTTTTCTTTTTACCCCGCTTTTGCCAGTGAACTTTTAATGTCTCATACTCAATATCTCCCATGTAGAACCTGATAACTACCCCCAAAGGAGCATGTTCCTGTGAAGAGGCACCATGACCTCCTCCACCTGCATGAAGGGCCTCAGACTCCCCTTCTCACCTCCCAGTCCCTAGGCAGCCTCCTTCCCTTCCTAGAATCCCTCTACTCCCAGTGCTGGGGAGGCAGAGGTGAGCTGAGGCCTCCTGTCCTCCATGCCAGCTGGCCTCACAGGAAATCTCGCTCTTTTTGCAAATCTGGGTGTCCCAGTTTGGCTTCCATGTGCATCAGCAGTAAGGCCTGGTTGGTGTCAATTAGTTTCATGGAAATGCTTGGAATCCCAGACCAGCTAATCTCAAGAGCTCAGGTTTGCTAGAAAGACTCATCCCACTAGTTGGCTTCCTTGTGAATCTCTGCCAATCTCTCCAGGACAGTGTCCCTCTGCCACTTCTGCCATTGTGCATTTCCCATTCAGCACAGGTGATGGACACTTGTCCCTCTAGTGCTCTTCTCATGTTTGGTGAAGGAAACTGAGATGTTTTTGCACCGACTCTTGTGCTTGAATATGAATATTTGACAAACCTGCCAGGTGTTTCACCATTTCACAACAGACCCCTGGTATTTATCATTGCTACTCTGAATTCACACTAAAATCAGCTGTTTATTATATTCTGTTACTTGGAAAGTGGAAGAAACACATTTTACTTTCCTTCTGAGGAGTCAGGGAAATTATGGTGTGGAAGATATGAAGAGCAGAGTGAATGATCAGGAGCACTGACTGAAGAGCTCACTCTGGGATCCTCCTGGGCACACTTTTACTTTACAGCCTCAACCTCCTTTTTTGCACAATAGAGATAAGAAGTATATTTTGCACAGGCTCCTGTGCTGAATATTACAGAATGATATTAAAGGAGACTGTCAAAAATAAATATATCTTTGTCTGCTTGTTTTTGGGTTGAAAAGCCTAATATGAACATAGCAGTCCATCCCAGTGGCTTGCAAGGCTGAGGCAGGAGAATCACAAGATCAATGCCACCTTCAGAAACAGAAAGGCACTAAGCAACTCAGGAAGACCCTGTCTCTAAATGAAATACAAAAGAGGGCTGGGGATGTGGCTTAGTGTGTGACTGCCCTTGAGATCAATTCATGGAACCAAAAAAAATAAATAAATAACAAAAAATAAATGTAAAATAAGATAGCAGTCCATCTCAAATTCATAAGCAAACTCAATGCAATAATTATCAAAAGCAAAATTGGGTCTTTCTTTCTTTCTTTCTTCTTCTTCTTTTTTTTTTTTTTTTTTGCATAATTTCCGATCGCTTCTTATAGTTAACAGGATAATTCAGGGGACAAAGAGAGACTAAACAATCTTGCAAAACAGAAGTTCACTGAGAGGACCCACTTTCTGATTTCCAATGTTTTTAATTTAATTTTCTTGGCTGTTTCTATGTTGTGCCTGGCAGAGAACCCAGGCCTCACCATGGTGCCAGTGCTCTAAGAGTGAACACACCACAGATCCTCCCTTCTCCCTACTACAGTGCTGGCAAGTGAGAAGTCACTGTCCCCTACAGACCCAGGAAGAGCATTAGCAGCATGCAGCCTGGCTCCATGAGGACCAGGCCTGAATGCTGAGCTCCTGCTGCCTCCTGCTACTTTCTGCACACCCTGCCTGCCTGGGAGGGCTGTGGGGCAGGGACACAGGTCATTCTATCCCCCAGCAGCCACACATTCTTCAAGGAACATGAACTTCTTCCTGTCCCCACTAGGGGACAAACCTCCATTCAGATGCTGCTTGTGCACAGGGCTGCTGACAGTCTGAGGACACTCAGAGGAGCAGTTTGGGGACCTCTATGAAGTCACAACCTCTCTCCCCTCCCATCCCTTCTCCCTGGATCCTGGGCTCCTCCAGTGTCTCTCCTCTGCACTCCTGCCTGAGTCTTCTCTGTCCTGTCCCCTCCTATTCTGAGTTCACACCTGTCAGTTCTCACTCTCCACATGGCTGTCCTCATATGGGTCACAACCCTGTTTTCCTTCATGTCCTGGCCCTTGGCCTGCCTCTTATTCCACCCTTGGATTCTCATGGGAGAGTCAAAGATGGTGCCTGGTGGTCTTTAGAGACAAGAAAGGAGAGCAGCAGGTTTTCAGGGCTGTACGTGTGGCTGCCATGGTCCACTCTGAGCAGAGTTCCTGCAGCATGTCAGCTGTGACCTACCAGAGGCACCACTGTGTGTCCAGTCAGAGGGGTGGCCATTAGCTGCTGTGGATGGCTTTGTACTGTGGCCATGCAGTCATTGAGCCAGCCCTTCTGCCCTATGTGGGGGAAGCAACCATACAGGAACTGCCCATGACCAGATCTGGACATAGAAATTCTATTTGGGCAACAGAACAACTGCCCCTCTCTATAACACTTGCTTCTCTTTGTCACTGGAGCCCGTCACAACCCCCAGTGTCCTGAGCAATGAGAAGGTCACTGTTCCAGGCATCAAGAGGACCCTGTGCAGGTCCTGAATTCCATGGTGCTCATACTCAGTCCTGAGAGTGAAGAGGCAGCTGTGGGTTTAGGCAAGAGATGCCAGCTTTACCTGCCCAGACTCAGGGTGTCTGAACTTAGAGTCCCATGGGCAGGGTGACACACACCTATAGTCCTGGACACCTTGACACTGAGGGAGGAGGACTGCAGGTTCAAGGCCACCCCAGGAAAACTATAGAACACAGTATGTAAACAAAAGGGAGCTGAATTGAATGTAGTTCATCATGGCCTAGCATGTGAAAACCCTGACTGCATTACTGCAGATGAGAAAATAATAAATAAATAAATATAAAATCCTACATTTATCAAAAAGTCAAGAAATACCTATGTTCATATACATATTCATACTAGACTTACAGAATAAACACAGACATGTCCATAGGATTTATATTTTAAATATTACATATGTGGCATGGAGTATTCTTTTTAGTTCTAAGCAAATTGAACTCTGGCTGAGAAGAGGCTCTGTGGGTCTTTGATGACCCTCCTCTCTGGTAGCAGGGTCTTTGCCCAGGATAGTGAGCTCAGCACTGAGTGCAAAGCCAGGCAAGAACTGACTCCTGGTCTCTGAACCTCCCCTGATCTTGGCCTCTCAGCTTGGCTCAGCCCCTGGGAGTGGACCACCTTCCTCCCCTGGATCCCCGGCCAGGCAACCTGAGGGCAGGGGCTCTGCTTCCCCAGGTCCTCACCATGTGCCCAGGAGAACCTTCACTTCAGAGCCCAGGGCCAGAGACTGCAGCTCTCAGGCAGCTCCAGCCTGAGCTCAGCCTGCGTGAGCTCCTGCCCCAGCATCTCCCATCTATGTCACCAGCAAAGTCCTTCCTTCATCAGATGCTCTGCACACATTCTCAGAATTGTCCCCCTGCAGGTTGTCACCTTGCTAAGGAGAAACTTGACTGAATGTACTTTTCCCAAACCCACAATTAAGATTTCATTGTAGTCTCTCTTCCCTAAGGAACTTTGCACACGCACAGGGATTTTTAAATAGGGTGAAGCTTTTAAACCTTTCCCTTTTTCCTTTAGTTTACTGCTCATCAGTTCTGTCCTGCTGTGTGTGGCAGGAACAGGTGAGCCCTCCCAGACCAGGGCAGGAAGAAGTATCAGGGGACAACTGATGATCCCAGAAATGATGTGTAACTGAGGGAGGGAGGGAGGGGCTGGGGCTCTGACTCAGAGGTAGAGAACTGTGCAGCATGCACCAAGCCTTGGGTTCAGTCATCAGCAACAAAGGGGGAAATTAAAGATAGAAAAGAAAGAGAGGGAGAGGGAAAGGGAGATGAGGGAGAGGGAGAGGGAGAGGGGGAGGGAGGGAGGGA